CGTTTGCTCGCTCGCTCGCTCGAGGCTCTACGGTAAGGGTTGCTGCTGCCTAAGGTGTTCCAAGGGATGGGAGGGGATCGGCGGCGCCTATTGGATTTCCACGGACTTTTTTTATCCTTCTTTTCCGTTGCCCCTTCTCCCCGTGTCCCTTCTTTTTGAAAAACTGTAGATCGACCAAAGGCTCGGTCTCGCCCGGATGATACCGTAGAAAGATTCTATGAATAAGTTGGCAACGTCCAGGATTATTTTTGAAAGGAAATCGCGCCACAAACACGCGCGTGGAAACGAAGCTTTTGCAACTCGATACTGTAAATTTACAGTACCGTCGGTGTGTTTGGAGAAATCGTAGGCTAACAACGACGAAGAGGAACTAACGGTGGAAATTTGCCGGATTAGAAATTATTTCGCAAAAATCTCTACGGAGTTTCTGCGTATCGTAACACGTAGAACCATCCCGGTGTTCCATTTGGAAAAACTTTTGTCCCCGACGTAGTGCACGTGCGCTTCGGCTTCCACCAAATCACGTTCCCCTGCGATCAACCGGGTCTCCTCATTTCGGATCGAGAGGAGAAGGTGAGCACAGGACACGCTTTACGACGAGACGCACGAAGCGGTCGTGAACGAGCGTTAAAATATTCAGTGAACCGGCCCAGTTGGTCCTGCGCAAGTAGAGAAATCGCATTTCGGAAAGCGACCCCTCACGTATAGCCGCGTTCGTGGTAGCGTGTGCGTGAAAGTTTTTCGTAATCGGCCCATCGACGAGGCGTGGAAAGTGTCGACGATCTAAGCACGCCGGCCGACATAATTAAAACTTCCAGAAAACATAATAACTACACAATTAAAGCGCGTCCCTCTGACTCTACTCTCTCTTGTCAGGAACAAGGGGAACTGGGGGGAGCGGGTGGGTGGGAAGAACGGGGAGAAAGCGGGTTTGAAAAGCGACGAGGACACGCCGATGCTGGAAAGAGAAAAACCGAGAAAGATAGAGGGGAGGGTGGTTTCATGGTGAGGGTGGAAACCGAGAAAAAGAGACAGAGAGCGAGAGAGAAGAGGCGAAGCGGAAGGGAGACGGACGAAAAGAGAAGATTCCAAGCCGAGCGGGTGGATGGTGGTCTACGGCAAGAGGAAGGGGGTAAAATGATGTAAAAATAACAAATTGAAACTGCTGGCCAGGAGGGTTGGATAACGCGAGGAGCAACGAGGACGAGGTTCGCCGATATTCCCCGAGCTAGACGAGAACGACCGATCTATATAGTTACCGGCGAACAGAGACGGAGTGGCAGGATGAACGAGACAGCGAGCAGCAGAGAAGGGTGGGCCAAAGGGGTGGCACAAGTAGATTTCAGTCTGGTGGGGGTGCTGCCAGAGAGCTCCCCTCTTCGGCGGAAAATAGGGGAGGGTTGTCGTACGTGTTAACGCGGCTACTATATATATATATATATACATATATACACATATATCTAGAGATACATACATATATGTAAGTACCTATATACACACATAGCATATACGTACGTGTACATAAGTACATACGGTATATACGTCGTATAGAATGCACGTATGTGTATATACGTAGAGGTACCAATGATAGTCCACACCCATACGGATTCCTATATACGCGTACCCCTTTCCCTCTACAGCTTCACCCTCCCTCTCTATCCTGTCTCTCTCCGAAATCAGCCATCCTCGTCACATCCACGCAGTTTCACGGCGTGAGTGTATGTGACGCGAGGGGCAATGCTCCATCGTGCAACGTGGAAATTTAGTTCCCTTCGTGTACACACACGTATAGAGGAATCGCGAGGGTGTGGGAGTAGCAGCCTGCGGCTGTGTGTGGTGCTTTACGACTCGATCGTAGCGTTAATGGCACCGCTGTCTGAGTGTGTAGGTAGCGGTGCACACGGGAAATGTGCTCGTGCCCGTCAGAGAACGCTTTCGACGTATACCATCCACCGTACTAGGCCAGCCAACTATATTTCGCGCGACCGAGCAGATTTCACTAATACGAGGAGCACGGCCCGCGTGGAATACGTACGCGCGCCTCATGCAGCAACCCGTCCCTCGCGATACTACACGTGGCGATCGACGAGGAGGGTTGCGTTGCGAACCAACCCCCGCCCCATCCCCCGTTTCGCACACTTTCTTTTTGTCGTCTCTGTTACGTTCGTTTAATTCACGCTTTTCCTGGTCACGCCGTCACTGTCGTCGAATCGAGCGTGAACCAGAGAACGCGTGCAAATGGCTCGATCAGCCAGACATTGTGCTGGTTCCAATTGATTCCGCGAAAGGATTCACCGGAGTAACTTCGCTGGAAAGAGCACGATACCGTTTCAGGCACACCGTATTTCAGTACTTTTCTGGAAATCGTCGGGAATCTTGTTTCGTGGATTTTCTAGAATTTTACTTTCTCTCCCGAAGGAAAAGTAGATTTTTCTTAATTTTAGACAGGGCGGATAACGGAACAGGTTTCCGGCAGAAACTTAGAAACAGGAGCATCGTTGGGAATAATTATAGTGCTAACGTGAGGCTTTAACATATATTTGTTACGTAACATATAACATATATCTGTTTTATAATGTAAATTGATGAGTCAGTGATATAATTCGATTTTGAAATTCTGATATAAGTCTGTTCTTATTCTGTGTGCATTGTAAAGTGACTCAAGGATGATAAAATATGCATACACGCTCCATCATCAGCACCACTTATTCTTATAACTTGTCCAAACAAACTTCCATAAAACTGAATATTCTTAATCAAAACAAGAGAACGATCTTACTCCTGGCTTGCCAGCAAACTGTATTACCTTGCACAGTTCCATGTCACGTAGTGAAACGATCCTCTTGTCAATCCCTGCATTACAGCAAATCCACGAATATATAAATTCCATCGCATCGTCGTTTGATTTCCTCCTCTCGAAGGGTGGGACTCCGCGAGCCTCCGAGAGGAATACGGGGGAAGTTCGTCATCGCAACTGCTGAAAGAAAGTAAAACACAAAGTACAAAATATTCGATTCGATGGACGAAATGCAATGCAGTCGGAAGAAACTCGCTGATTGACATCTATATATATATATCGCCATATCGTCTATTGACAGGCCACAGGCCACAGACCAATTATACGCATGAAAATCAAAGAAACGTAACCTGAAAAATAAGGACGCAATGCGAAACCTTCACCTGCACAGCGAGGCTACGTAAGGTACGCTTCAACCCTATTCCAGGAAAAAGGGTCGAGGCGGTCAGCATAACAACTGACATAATTAAGGGAATACGTAGGGAAGAACGGATGAGAGGAGCCGTATCTTGAACGTACATTGTTGACACGAAGAATATTATTTCTGCTTGTGTTCTTGGAAGGTTTATGGAAATTGATGATTAATAACAGTAACGTCACGTATCTTTCTTCGATTTGCAAACGGTAGCTTATTAGGAGCATCAAGAGCTGTTATCAATGCATAATTGATAATTGCAGTTATCAATGGACAATAAACATACCAAGTTAGAGAAAGCTGGAAATCTTAGGAATTTCTGTTGAACTCCCTCGATAAAAGAGATCTTACATTTTTCTATGCTGAGTTCCATACTTCTGAGATCTAACCAGAGAAGCTAAAAGGAAAACGAATTCAACTGAGCATTTGAGATACCCGGATAACCTCGGAAGTTAGGCTACTACATTACGTAGTACAAAGTGTAGATTGGTAATCGGTTAAATGATTACAAATTTAGTGCACTTTAATAGGCTTGATACTAATTAATGTTTCATTTAATACGCTAAAACCTAATTAATTAGTATGTAAATGCTGCACTGGAAATTACAGCTGATCATCTGAGACGTCCAGATAATGCGTGAGACAACTGCGTGTACAAAAGTTGCTACAGTATCTCGTGAGACATCCGAACATCCACGATAGTTTTGAAACTTTTTGATTCCAGATTAGGCTACTGTTGCTATGTGGTAGCAAGTACACACGTCGTTGCTGGTCGATTACGATAGTACAATAGTGATAGTACGATAGTACGACAGTACAATATTTAATATACTTGGACCTAATCAATGAGTGCGTAGAGGTAATATTGTAGGTGTCAAACAATCATTTGAGGTACCCGGATAATTTCGGAAGTTAGACTACTACATTACGTAGTACAAAGTGTAGATTGGTAATCGGTTAAATGATACAAATTTAGTGCACTTTAATAGGCTTGATAATAATTAATGTTTCATTTAATACGCTAAAACCTAATTAATTAGTATGTAAATGCTGCACTGGAAATTACAGCTGATCATCTGAGACGTCCAGATAATGCGTGAGACAACTGCGTGTACAAAAGTTGCTACAGTATCTCGTGAGACATCCGAACATCCACGATAGTTTTGAAACTTTTTGATTCCAGATTAGGCTACTGTTGCTATGTGGTAGCAAGTACACACGTCGTTGCTGGTCGATTACGATAGTACAATAGTGATAGTACGATAGTACGACAGTACAATATTTAATATACTTGGACCTAATCAATGAGTGCGTAGAGGTAATACTGTAGATATGAAACAATCATCCGAGGTAACTTCGGAAGTTAGACTACTACATTATGTAGTACAAAGTGTAGATTGGTAATCGGTTAAATGATTACAAATTTAGTGCACTTTAATAGGCTTGATACTAATTAATGTTTCATTTAATACGCTAAAACCTAATTAATTAGTATGTAAATGCTGCACTGGAAATTACAGCTGATCATCTGAGACGTCCAGATAATGCGTGAGACAACTGCGTGTACAAAAGTTGCTACAGTATCTCGTGAGACATCCGAACATCCACGATAGTTTTAAAACTTTTTGATTCCAGATTAGGCTACTGTCGCTATGTCATAGCAAGTACACACGTCGTTGCTGGTCGATTACGATAGTACAATAGTGATAGTACGATAGTACGACAGTACAATATTTAATATACTTGGACCTAATCAATGAGTGCGTAGAGGTAATACTGTAGATATGAAACAATCATCCGAGGTAACTTCGGAAGTTAGACTACTACATTATGTAGTACAAAGTGTAGATTGGTAATCGGTTAAATGATACAAATTTAGTGCACTTTAATACGCTTGATATCAATTAATATTCAATTTAATGGATTTTAATGTGGACTTCAACTGTACATGTGCGATACTCAAGTAGCAGGGTACCCGTGAGACACCCAGGTATGCAAAAGTTAGAGATTAGGTTACTACGTACGCTACGTAACACAAAGCATAGGTTGTTGGTAGTGAGTTTTAAATGCAAAGGAGAATCCGCTGTCAACCCGATCATCGTACTTGTGCATATCTAAAGACTGAAAATAAAGAACTCTCGTCTCGAACGAACGAACACACACAATGCAACCGGTCTCACCTTAAAGTGGTGAGAATGTCCGATCTGCAGCTTCTTCTTTGTCAGTTCTAGCGAGTTTGCTTGTCGCATCGAGGTTCTCATGCAACTGTCTCATATGTATCTCGCGAAATAGCCGGCTACGCGGGTAATTCTTCTGAATTTGGTTGAAATCACCGTCTCAACTTTTGCCAACAACCATCCACCCACGCCAGACTCGATCGACTTTGACCGAAAACTGCTCTAATCGACAACGCTAGGCGCAATAATAATCGACAGACAGTGTAACCAATTGTTTGCAGCTAGCATCGACCATTCCATTCGCATTGGCTGCTGCTTGTTTCGCGTTTTCGTCGATATGCTAACGCGAGTCGACAAATGTAAAGGGACTCTGTGTTAATCGCGCAAGACGCGTCTTCTACGTTTCCTCGTGTTCGAAGAAGTAGGCTAACAGTTGGTCGAAACGCTGTTGAGCGAGAAGACAGGAAAAAAACGTAGGTGGACTGGATGAAAATAGTTGGATATTTTCTAGTTAACAGGGATGAGCAAAACAATTAAAAGCTGGCGCAAGGCACGTATTTTCTTTTGTCATCGGGCAACGAAGATTCACGCAGCTTCGATTCCCAATTTGATAGCTGCTATATTTCTCGACTGGCGGACTGGCGCCAGTTTACGGTCGAGCTGGAAGCTAAAACGAAAAAACGAAGGCGAAAAATCCGAAATTCGAAGATATTTACTCGAGGAAGCGCATTAGCCTTTCTCGAGTGGAAAACACGGGGAAATATTCAGAAACGGAAATCAGACTGGAAAATAGCGGCGTAGTGTGCGCCGCTGCGTGCAACCCGATGGCCGAACAACATTTCGACGAGAGGAACGTTATTTAAACAGCGACCAAGCGGATCCGAAGGAGGTACATTTTTCCAAATAAAAATTCATTTAGCAGGCAGCGGGTTCGCGGTTGTCCGGCTTTTGCGAAACCGGAAAACTCATTGCGCCGAAAGTAGCCAAAGTGCTTTGTACAATTAAGCGAGAATTTTCGCGAATCAGCACCGAATTAGTATTAATTAACTCGCAATTCCAACGGAATTCCTGTATAATGAACGAAACAATTTCGTCGGTGCAATAAACTTCACTCGAAAGCTACGAATAATTTCAATCATAATTTTTCTCTATCCTTCCTTTCGTCTATCGATTTTCTCTCGGTCTTTCTGCTTGCTCGGGAATTCCTATTACCGTCATTATCATAACAAAAGGTTACATTTTCTTCGTTTATTAGGCGCAGAGAAAGAGATTCTGCGCGTTTTAGATTTTATATTCCATACAGCGTTACTTCTCCAACGATTTTTGACAATTCTTTAGCGCGTTTAACATCGTCGATATTTAAGTTTCTAACTTCTACGCCTTCCATCCCGCGTATACGCAACGTCGTTTATCTATGCGCGTTTTTAACGAAACCATAAACTGTAGACGTACGTGTTGTGAAACTTGTTCGAAATTTACATTGGTATAATGCGTTCTTTCGATTAATTCAATACGTTGTATGTTCCTGAAACAGTTAAGATAACGGTTTCTCTATCGTTGATAGCCGATAAAGAGGAATTTTTCTCATTGGATCGAAGGAAAATTCTGATTGCGATATAGCCAAGAGTACACTGTGCACGCGCGACGAAAGAAGCTTGTCGATGAAATTCGTATTTCTCGTTGCATCTTCTTTTCGTCTCAGTTCGACGAAAATGACGTTGACGGTGCCAAAAATCTTGTTGTTCAGATAGCAGAGTCGCGTTTGTTCGAACTCACCGAGGGAACGATCAGTCCATATAACTGCAATTCGTACAACTAATCGAGAAGTTCTCCGACTTTCCTTGTTACCTGTCATTCTTCCTTCATTCGTACAATGACGGTTCACTTAATCAGCTACTGATTAAAATTTCGTCGTGGTGAGTGAGATTCTACTAACGTAGTATCAAAGATCGTCAAAACGAAACCGGGCCTCGAGTGACCGAGACCTGGCGATAGTTGCGACAATTTTCAAAGGTTAAGACCATAGAAGAACCATAGAAATTATATCTCGTCTCGCTTATTCATGCAAAATATGCCATTTCTCAGGGATGAAAATTGTGTTCACCAAGGTACAAAAAGCCACAGAATTTCCTTCCCCATCTAACATTATTCCCTCTTTTGACAAAATGCAAATCGACTTATCATCTCACTGAGAATCCACAGCCTGGCAATCATTTGCCGCGTTCAATTCGTCCGGACGTTTTATCGAGACCATTAATCATCCGTAGATCTCGGCCATGACGTCGATCGTTGACTTAAGCCTGATTCACGCAAGCGGTCAAGGTTACTGTCGGATTACGATCGACCAAAATCTACGATTTTACCGACACGTTCGCACTAAACAACCGAATCCCGTGCCAGTGTTTCTCATCCTCGTTCGTCCGCTCGAACCAGCGATGACATCGTTTTCCAAGTTCTCCAGCGATTAGACGATTAAAGCAGCTGTACTGGTCATAAAGCTTTTATATTCTTATTGTTCTATCGTTATATCGTGATAATTGTATCGTATTATCGATTATATTATCATATTATCTTATCGATGTATCGCT